CTAGAATAAGCAGCAAAATATACGTTCGAATACCTATCGTTCCGTTTTCTGCCTCAATTTCGTACAATAGTCGTTTTACAGGTACCACAAATCACAAATATGTTTTTTTTCGCAATAAAAATAAACAAATTCTACATATCGACACTTGAGTGGAAGACCGACCTATCTCGGCAGCCAGTTCGAAAACGCCCTATCTCAGAAAACTTTTCAAGAACGCCCCATTTCAGAATTTGGTTGAAGAACGCCCTATCTCAGAATTCGGTTCAAGACCGCCATGTCTCAGCTGTCAATTCAAAAATAACCTATCTCAGCACATTTTCAATATATTTTCAAGTGAGATAGGGCGTGTTTGAACTGAATTCTGAGATAGGGTGTTTTTCAATAAAATTCTGAAATAGGGCATTCTTTAATCAAATTCTGAAGTAGGGCGTTCTTGAAAAGTTGTCTGAAATAGGCCGTTTTCGAAGTGGCTGCCGAGATAGGTCGATCACTCAAGTGTCGATATGTAGAATCTGTTTATTTTTATTGCGAAAAGAAAACATATTTGTGGTACCTATAAAACTACTATTGTACGAAATTGAGGCAGAAAATGGAACCATAGGTATTCGAATGTATATTTTGCTGCTTACTCTAGAAAAGTCCGAAGCTGTGCGCTTAGTGTCGTCATTTTTTGGGTTAGAAAATCATTTTTGGTTTTAGAGGCCAAGGCTTCAGCCCGTGTCGATATCCATCGTTATATCATATCACATGATCGTAACCCCTATCATTGATAAAAATGATAAGTACATATGTACATATGTATAGTATTAAGTTTATGTTATACGTACGTACATATCTTTGTACATTAGGGTGATTTTTTTGCGACTATTGTTTTTTTCACTCCTATCTCGAAATTTTGTGGAAAACACCAAAAAAAACTCCCTGAAAATTTGAATATTAATATTAACATTAAGTACTCGCCCAAGGCGTGCAAAGATTTCCCATATAAAATACACGTAAACTTTGAGTTTTTTTCTTCAAAAGTCTACAGCTCAGATGCATTTTATGTTATAACCTTAGTCAATAATGGGTTTTCTTCAGAATTGAATGCTCTACAAAAGTGCTCATCCTAACTCCCCCAGCGAGGTAGTACGGGTCACTAAACACAATTTTTTTAAGAAATTCTTGTTTTTTTTGTCCCTATCTCGAAAATAACAAGAGTTACAGAAAAAATATTAACGATAAACTTGTAGGACATTCAATTTCCTACAAAAAAGTTATACATTACCAAACCGCTAATATCCACATTCCTTGAGATATTGGACTTTGAAATTGATCAAACATTTCTACAATTTATCTTAATAGTCCATGAAAATTCCACACTACCTCAATTTCAAAGCCTAATATCTCAAGAAATTAGCGATTTGGTGTTCCGAAATAAATTTAAATTTTTTCTGTATCTCTTGTTATTTTCGAGATAGGGGGAAAACGAGAATTTCATGAAAAAATTGGGTTTAGTGACCCATACGTAGAGCATTCAATTCTGAAGAAAACCCATCATTGACGAAGATTATACCATAAAATGATTCTGAGCTGTAGACTTTTGAAGAAAAAAACTTAAAGTTTGCGTGCATTTTATATTGGAAATCTTGGGCGAGTACTTAACGTTAAAATTAATTGTGAAAATTTTCAGGGGTTTTTTAGGTGTTTTCTACAAAATTTCGAGTGAAAAAAACAATAAATAATAATAATAATAGAATGGCGCTTACACATATGTTAGTGTTTGGCCGAGCTTCTCCTCCGATTTGAAGCGTGCGCCTTGATGTTGTCACACAAAGCGGAGGGACCTACAGTTTTACGCCAACTCCGAACGGCAGAAATACACTCGGAGGTTTGCCATTGCCTGCCGAGGGACGACCGCTGTTAAGAAAAAACCTTTTTTTCTATATTTTTTGCGATGTTGCTTTGACCAGGGTTTGAACCCAGGTGCTGCGGAGTGGAAGCGCGCACTTCTTACCACTACACCACAGCGGCCGACAAAAACAATAGTCGCACAAAAAAAGCACCCTAATGTACATATGTATGTGTGTACATGAATTACGATACTCCGAAGCTTATTTGTTTTGTACATACATACATGTCGCCCGTGAATTGCTTTTTGCATGCTAATGAGGGAATTTAAAACATTGTAAGCATTCAAGACCCTCTTTAAAATTGTTTATAAATATGCTGCCAAATTATTATTGGATACTAAAAAAAAATCGGCATCGCAAATGTGGAGCCAACCAGTGACGTAATTCAAACACACTCATGATCCTCAATAAATATGGACAAACACATATATGTATATATATGTATGAACTTGTACTGTGTAGTAGACAGTGTGTACCTATTTACGCGCGTTGCAACCTTAGAGTACAACTCAACAAGCTTTTCAGTTGTTCAGCGCCTTTCAGACATTCAGCGCTCTATTCAGGTATGAGTTTAACATTAGAGTTGGAGCGCCTCGAGTCGCAACCCCTGAAAAACCTGATATGGACCTTCACCTTTAACATCTGTAGGTCCTATAGTTGTGTTTCCTTGGGTTATCCAGGTTAGTATCTCGATCATTTCTCACGTAAACGAACTGTATCATTCTTATTGGAGCAGCAATAATTTTATACTAGCACGAGGAAGTCGAAACTATAAAATTGAACACAG